GCTGAGGAGCTCAAAGCAGAAACTGAGGCCCAACCGATGGATAGAGGACTGCTCATTTCTGTCTTACTTTCTCCTCTTCCCCAGGAGCATCTGCCCATGTGGACACTGCCCAACCAAGAATAGTCTCAGCCCTTCCACATGAATCACTATTCAAGAAAATGCCCCCATGAACTTGCTACAAGGGTCTTTCTGTTTCTTTATTTTCTTCCTCCCTTATTTCCTTTCTCTCTCCCTTTCTCTTGTACTCTCTCCGTCTTCTTGTATTGTTCTTCCGGTATTTTTCTTTTTTTTTTTTTTTTCAATTTTCAAGACAGGATTTCCATGTGAACCCTGGCTGTCCTGGAATTTACTGTGTAGACCAGGCTGACCATGAACTCTATGAAAATCCATCTACCTCTTTCTCATGAGTGCATGGATTTAAGGTGTGAGTCACCACATCCAGCAAAGGTTCCCTTTTAACCTAAAAGCCTAAAAACTAACCAGCACTGTGCAATCCCAGTCTTTACCTTTCATTTTAAATGGCATGTCACTAAACTGACTGGGCAGGTTGAGCTTCAGTCCCCATACTTAGGCATCCAGGGTAGCTGGAGTTAGAAACCTGTGCACCAGGTACAGACCAAATGATCTTATTTCCTTGGCACAGATTTTCAATTTTTATGATTTTTTAGGACAGTGTTCCACTGTGTGTTCCAGTTCGGCCTAGTTAGACTCACTAAGCAGTCTGAGCTGGACTTAAACTTGCTAGTAGATTATAATCATTAAATATTGACATTCTTGCCTCAGTCCCAAGAGCTGAGATTCTAGGTATGTGACATGTGACACCATAACTGTTTCCTGATAGCTCTTTTAACTTGGACATCATGGAAATCACAGTGATGAACAACACTGAGAACTTCAAACCCTCCCCCCTCTACACACACACACACACACACACACACACACACACACACACACACACAATTATAGGTGGTTAAAAACTGCTGGCATCCTGACATAAGAAAGTCATGGCAGATAGGGAACCTGAAATGGCCATCTCTGTGGCTTGGCAAGACTTCCAGAGGAGAGATTAAAACAACAACCCAGTACATAACTTCCAACCAAAAATTTGTCCTGCCTGTAAAATGTGCTGGAGTATAGGATACACAAAACTTATGGGAGTGGCCAACCAATGACTGGTCCAGCCTGAAACCCTGGCTGTAAGAGAGCCCTGACACTGGCTAGAAGGTCAGGAACCAGAGGCTAGACAGCCCAGAGACCTAGCATAGAACCAAACACTACTGGCAATACAATCAATGTAATGTTTCCTAGTGATATTCTGCTACACTCATAAATTGATGCCTAGCCAACTGTCATCAGAGAGGCTTCATCTAGCAACTGATGGACAGAGATGTACAGAACCACAAACAAATATTACACAGACCTCAGGAATCCTGCTGAAGAGATGAAGAATTGTAGGAGCCAGATGGGTCATGGACATCATGAGAAAACCCCCAGAACCAATTAACCTAGGCCCATAGGCGCTCAGAGAGTCTGGATGGACAGCAAGGGAGGCTACACAGGACTGACCTAGGCCCTCTGCATGTATGTGACAGTTGTGTAGCTTGGTCTTCTTGTGGGATTTAACAGTTGCTGCAGGAGCAATTGACTCTTGCTGGCTTTGTACCCTCATCCTCATACAGGGTTGCCTCAGCCAGCCTTCATCTTGATGGGTATCACTGGGAGACCAACCCTCCACTCAATAGAAATGGAGGAGTAGATGGGGGCTGGGGATAGGCAGAGAGATAAGGAGGGTCATAGAGGAGAGGTAGGAGGAGAAAGCGTAAATACAATATATTAAAAAAACAGCTGAGTTATTGTTTATCTTTCCTAGGGATGAGAACCCTCATGGTTAACCAACAAAATGCCCTAAAAGTATACACACATACAATACTAGATGGACTCAAGATTGGATTTATGTATTATTTGCATATAAATAAATCTATAGTAATTAAGGATAACACCACAAACTTGACAATGATGTGGAAGGGAAGAAAAGGAAGGAATTGTAGGGAGCAGAGAAATAATGTAATTATATTTTTATTTCATAAAGTAGCTTTGAACTCCAAGTGCCTTCATTTTATAGCAGGAAAATATTCCATCTGTGTTCAAATGCCAAGACTTCCCATAATGTGTGTAACTTTTTCCATTAAAAACTTACCCTTCAGCCACGCGGTGGTGGCACACGACTTTAGTTCCAGCACTCGAGTGACAGAGACAGGCAGATCTCTGTGAGTTGAGGGCCAACCTGGTCTACAAGAGCTAGTTCCAGAACAGGCTCCAAGGCAATACAAAGAACAAAAACAAAACCACAACAACAAGAACAAACAAACAGAAAAAAAAAACATTTATTCAAACAGCCAGTCCTTGTAGTGCTATTTGATGTTATCACACACAAAAAATCACTTAGGTTTGCAAACCCTCTCCTGGATCCTGTAAAGAGGGACACCTGGCACTTCACACTATCTATGCCACCAGACCACTGGTGCTTATGTCACCAGATCTCCAAAAATGGACCCCCAGCTCTGCCCCAGGACTGCAGCATAGCATGGTCCCCTGAGCCACTGTGACCACTTGAATTCACATTCAGATACAGCTTTCCTCTTTTCCTCTTTTCCTTGGCCCAGTTCTGCAGACCAGCAACCACTTTAGACTGGGTGCCGTCCTCTTGCACAGCTTTGGCACCTGTTTCAATGCTGTCCTTGCTTTAGTAAGGTCCACTCGAGTTCCTGTAGTGTCTTTAGCCCTTTGCTGTTGTGAGTTGGGATGTCACTTACCCTGGTGGCCTCTGACTACAACCGAGGAAGACCTTGAACTTCACATGCTCCCTCCTCCTCCACGTTTGTGTTTGGATTACAGGCATGAACAACCACAGCTGCTGTCATGTGGAGCTGGGGGCAAGGGATCAAATCCAGGGGATGCTTGATGCATAGGCAAGCTCTCAACCAGATGAGCTACACCCCCAGCTGAGACAAGAGGATGGCTGGGAGTTTTGGAGCAGAATAATCTGCAAAGTGAGTTTCAAACCAATCTGTTTTCTACAACTGAAACCACAGCTCTAAAATATAAACAGCATCACTAACAACCAAATACTCTCAAATTTTCTGACATTCTGGGGCTTGACTACATGGTAGAGCATTTGACTTGTATGTAATGATGCCTTGTCTCATTCAGTTCCTTGAGCTTTAGCCAGGTTCTCTCTGTGTTTTATAGTATGTGTTGAAAGGAGATCAATCAGGGCATGTCCCCTGTAAGCTGGTGACCCAGAAATCTCCATGTTCAGGGTTCAGGGCCCCATATAGAGACTACAACTAGAGGAGATGAACCAGAGAGACAGGAGGATGCGACCCTCTCTATGAAGAACTTCATCTCTAGCCCTTCTGCATGTTACTCAGACATTGTAAACTCTGATACATATGAAGACTTAGAGTCCATGTGAGAGCCAGACATGAAAAACCTGCTTACAGAGTCCTCCAGTCTCTGCAGAAGCTAAGTCTCTGGGCTGTCCAGCCTCTTGGTCCTGACCCTCCAGGCACTATCAAGGGTGGGCTCACTCTTACAGCCAGGGTCTCTAGCTGGACCAGTCATTGGTTGGCCACTCCCACAAGCTCTGTGTCTCCTATACTCCAGCACATCTTACAGGCAGGACAAATGGTATGTAGAAAGTTATGTGGCTGGGTTTGAGTTCTAATCCCTCCATGGGAAGTCTTGCCAAGCTACAGAGATGGCTATTTGGCTTTCTTATTTCTGGATACCACAAGGTGGAATCTTCAGTATTGTATTCTCCTTCCTAAGACTGTGTTGATCTGCCGGGCATTGGTGTCACCCACAGGATGCAGAGGTAGGCAGATCCTGTGAGGTCAAGACCTGCCTAGCCTACAAGCTAGTTCCAGGGCAGCCTCTAAAACCAGAAGAACCCTGTGTTGGTCTGTGAGCAGTGACTGTAGGTGAAATATAAAATGATTTGCACATGATAATGTATTCTGATCAGTGTGCAACTTATTATACTCAGCTTGAGTATGATTTTAAGTGAATTATGATAGACCCTATTTCCTAGCAAGGGTTAATTTTAAGGTTATGTCCCAAATGGTACTGTCACAGCAATCACATTTTTCATGTTTTTCTTTCTCTTTCCAGAGTGTACTTTATAAAAACCTTACAATTAATTCTTGTATGGACATCAGCCAAAAAGAGTCACTTGTATTGAAACAAAGGATCTATATTTTAATAAACACAAAAATGAAATAAAAGAGTATCATCCAAAATTACTTTCCAGCTATCAGATTAGATCCACAAATATGAGAAAAATTAAGGGCTAGATGAAAAAAAGATAAAGATGGGGAATTACAATTGAATAGTGGAAATACGGTTATATCTGGTAAAAGAAGGGCTTCAAACAGTAGAGGAATTTTGACCAGTACAGGAGACTCATATAGTAGTGACCATACTTATATAGTAGGATCCATGAACAATGGAGGCTGGATATGGTGGTGATATCCTTGATCTCAGCAATTAGGAGGTGGAGGCAGAACAAGAGGATTAAGAGTTCAAGGCCAGGAGCTGGAGACAGAGATGCCTCAGGACTGTAGAGCACTTGCTTCTCTTCCAGAGCAGCCTAGTTTGGCTTCCAGCAAACAAGTCAGGCAACTAATTTAGGAATCCTATGCCTCTGGTACTTGCACTAGGGGACACGCACCTCCTCATCACATAAACATAACTAAAGCAACGAAAAGTAACTTTTATACGAGATCAAGGCTGGCAGGTTACAGTCAAATATTTTTTAAGTGACAAAGCAAAGAGCATAGCTCGGGTTGAAACATGTCCCATTCTCTCTGCATTGCCTTTTCCTACTGTCATCTTTGATCTGCACACAGAGTCCCCTAATACACTGAGTATCCTAGATTAAAACCCCTACAATCCCAACCTCCTTCAGAGGTGTGTCTGTACTGCTCACTTTAAGACCCCTACACAAAGCCCTCTATGTAACCACCCTGAAAAAGAAGGACCAAAAGTAGCACTCCCCTATTTACCGCAAGCAAGAACAAAGCCTGGTCTCCTGCTCATACACACAGCTCTTAGAACATCTACTGCAGACATCTGTAGCAAAGGAGATGCTCTTGGGCTGCCTTATGGCCTTGAGGGTATCCATGAGCACAGGGCAAAATTGTTCCAATCTCTCTATGGAAACCAGACCCAGCTCATAGCACTCCTGAGGGGCAGGGTACTGCTCCATGGCCATGTTGCTCAAGTTGGCTGTGTGGTGGAGAAGGTCACTCAAGACATTCATGTAGAAGTCATTGCTATAGAAATTGACCTTTGTGAGCTTGGGGAATTGGCTGAGGGCAGGGAGGAAGACACTGAGCTGAGAGTCCTTTATCCCACACCCCTCCAATTCCAGAGTCTCAAGGGAGTCTGCCACTTTCTGCAGGAGAACCCTGAGAGGCATCAGACAGAAATTGGACAGTAGGACTCCACTCATGTCCAGATGTTTTAGTTGACAGAGACGCCGACACTGGGACAAATGATACAAGTCTGACCGAAACAGCTGGCAGTGAGTGACAGAGAAGGTTTCCAGGCGATTCTTCAGGTTCCTAGGCAGAGACCAAAGGGTTAGTTCTGACAGATGATGCTGGAGAGGGTGTGTGGTGGGATTACACAACAGTAGAAGGGGACATGTGTCCCAGTGTCAGTTGGATCACTGTGGGATGGCTCAGTGCACAGCTCTGTAGCACCTTCTCCTCACTGACACAGAATTCCTGTGCATCTGTTATACCCTAGAGCACATAAGGGAAGGACCCACCCATGGACGACCTGACAGTACATCAGGCAGTTGTCACTGCCCTCTGCTCCCTGTCACCTCCTCTGTGGGGATTCCCAGTCTCCACCCCATATTGACCCTCAAACCCCTATGGGCCATTTCCCATCCTCTCAGCCCCTATTGTTCCAAGCAATTCCTGCCTGGGAAATCTTGGTGGCTGTTCACACAAATTGAGCACAGACCCCTGGGAGCTATGCGGGCTTTCTGATCCTCCACTCTTTGGGTTCCCTCCTTTCTCTGTTCCCTTCCTGTTAGCTTAGCCAGGATCTAAGGGAGAAAGTGTACAGTATTCTCACTAAATCTGAGCAATCCAAGTCATTGTGACGCACTATGCACACACTGTCTACCCCAATTGAGGTCTCTGCTTCATGTGTGGTCATGGAACACATGGGTTCAGCTTACACAGAAACAAGACCATGCTTAGATATCCTAATGGCTCCTTCACAATTCATTCTCCAAGAACTGGAAGATACCAGGCCCATAACTCTTTAACATAAAATTCAAAGTTTTGCTCTGGTAACAGAAACAGCTCTCTATCCATCCTTACCTGAGCAATTGTTTCATGTTGTCACTGAGAAAACAGATCCCATCCATATAGAGATGCTGGAGGCTGCTGATACCGGAGAGCTCAGATATGAAAGTGCGAACAAACCACTTGTAGTCTGATGTATAGGCATGCTCAAATGTGTTCTTGTTGGTCCAGACCAGAGAAAGTGTGTGAAGATTTCTCATATGCGCGAAGTAGGGATAAAATCGTAACAGAGAACTCCAACTCCAATCTATGGTGAATTCTAACACCTCAATATTCCACAGCCCGATAATTTTCCGGAACATACTGACATGATCTTCAGACAATAACACAATCTTCATGTTCACACAGCACAGCTGTAGGGAGTCTTTTCTATGCTGAGCCCCAGGCAAGAAATCTGTTTCTTCTTCCTCCTGTGTGAACCTGGAGTAGAGGTCAGTTATCACCTTCAGACGCTGCCTCTGCTCGTATCTGGGAGGGGGCTTCACTGCTTGCTTCTCACTCACAGTCTCAGCTGAGCAGTCCCCATCTTCTGTCCCAGCCTCTATGGTCCAGACGTCACGGTGCACCCTCCGAAAATCCAGTATTCGAAGATTCCCCCTCCTGTGAGTTAGACAGGTGAAAGGTCACAGAGAGAGGAGACCCCACAGACATTCAGGTCCTTTCCACACACCTCTCATGTCAGCTCTGCCTTTCTCCCATGAGGATTTCTGCAAAGCTTGTTTGTTTTTTCCCAGCACTGAGTGTCCAACAACCTCATGGTCCCTGGCAATGGCTCTCTCTGAGCTGCATCACTAGCCCTCTGCCTTGCTTCCCTGCAATCAGTTACTCTTGACCTGGTACAACTAGTGCCTGTGGGAGAGACAGGGACAGGCTCCTCCCCCCTGTGCCCACATCTTCTCTATTCCTCCCCCACACCCAACTGTCCTTCCCCATCAGAGCTCACCAGCAGGCAAGGCTTCTGCAGTCTTCCAGGCTGATGCTACCAAGGCCTCTGATTTCCCTCTGACCCCATTATCTCAACTCTGAATTTGTCTACCCTGTACCCCAGGTTCCTCCATGTGACCCTACATAGGTCATACTTACATGGAGTGATCCTGCTGTCTCAGCAGGTCCCTCAGTCCTTCCACCACAGCCTGAGAAAACTCCAGGTTGCCGGAGGTCATCAAGGTCCCCTCAGGGATGTAGGGTAAAGGCCAGGCTGCCACCATTACCATCAAAATGTTAGGGAGTCTGCAAATGAAGGCCTCCTGGAACAGTGGTAGGAAGAGCATCTTGGGCAGGTCTTCCAGAGCAGAGATGGCCAAGGCCTCATCTCTCAGCAGCGCCTTCCTTGCCAGCTTCTCCAGTGTGGGTGGGGTCCGGAAGCTCATCTTGTTGGGTCCTGGAAACTTCCAAGAAAGACATCCAAGGAAATGTCAATTCTTATAAACACAAATCAATCTCCAGGAAGTATCTATCTCTTAGAGATCACAAGAAAAAAAATCCCATCAGACATGGTGCCTCTGGCTTCTCATACCAGAGTGTGGTGTATGAAGAGCTAGTAGACAATAGTTCCAGGACAGCTGTGGTACTGGAGAAGACCTGAACACAGATCACACACACACACACACACACACACACACACAAAACCCCACACACACACACCTGTTCAGGAGGCAGAGACAGGAGGATTTCTGTAATTTTAGTCTTAAGTTCCAGGCTACCCAAAACTTCATATTAAACAAACACCAAACTTAATCCAATTCAATAGTTTTTCTGTCAACAGCAACAAAGGAAAACTGAGTATCTTTTTAAATTTTTTTTTCATTTTAATTTCCAATCCCAGTTTCTGCAGGGAAAAGGGGTCAGCCAAAGAAACATACTTTGTTCCTGCAGCCAGAACCAAAGAAATGCACCCTGATCCTGAAACCAATGCCAAAGAAACACACTTTGTCCCTGGAGTCAGAGCCAGTGAAAGAAATACACCCTGGTCCTAAAGTTAGACCCAAAAGGCTGAAAAGGACCAGTGAAAGAAACATACTTTAGCCCTGAAACCAGAGCCAAATCTGACCCTAAACCTGTGCAGAAAACCAACCAATCCCTGAACAGTAGATCTAGCTATCCTAAAGTCCAGGATAGAGAAATCTGACCAATTCCCATCGCGGAAATCTGCCTGGGAAAACCCTGCCCCCTAAGAATTCCTCTACAGCTTGTGGCTGTCCAGCTGCCTCCTTCCATCCTGGCAGAGGCCACTCTCCTGGATTCTTCCCTCCCAATAAATCTCTTGAATGAGTGGAGAGGAGCAGGGCTGCCACACTTTCGCTGGGGAAATCTTCCCCTGGCAGAATGGAGTTGCTACACTCAGCTAGCTCTCCAGTCTCCAGGGGAGTCCACTGGGAAGCCGTCGGACCCGAGCAGAATTGATAGACCAGGGAAACCCTCTCTTGCCAGAGCAGAGCTGATACACGGGGAAATCCTTTCCCTGAAGCAGGGCTGTAAACTGCTATGCTTACTGTGACTGAGGTATTCCTTGGCTTGCCGAGCTCCAGGATACCTTCCTATCCGGGCAGTATTCTGTGAATCCCAAGTGTCAGAATACCTGTCCCATACAATCTGCCCCAAATCCTTATGGTTCCTTCTCTCTCCCCTTCTTCTAATCCCCTCCTCCACCCATCCTAATCCCAATCCACTCCACAGAGGGGATAAGGCCTCCCTTGAGCAGTCAAAGTCTGGGAAACCTAGTTGAGTCTGAACTAAGCCTGTTCCCCCTGAATCAGGCTAGGCAAGGTAACCTCCTACCCCTGCTGTAGAGAGCTGCGAAGTGCCACACCTTAAAGATGGTGCTGGCTTCCTCCTTCCACCTTCCCAATGGTGAGCGCTCTCTGTCATAAACAAGTCCTTATTTGGCTAAGCCTGTTCAGCTTGCTAGTTTCTGTATAAGAGAAGCCTGTCTGCAGGGTCCATGTGGCTCACTAGGGTTGGTCAGAGCAAGGGGATTTAAACCTGTGCAGGCCTTCCCCTGGGGTCAGAAGAAGAAGCTTGTTCAAGGATCCTGATTAAACTCCTAGAAGAAGATCTCCCCTGAGTTGCATCTTCCTTTATGGTCGAGGTTGGGTGAGACACACCCCCCCACACACACACATAATGGGCTCCTAAAAGCCAGTTCATCCACCTGGAATAAGTCCTAGTCCCACTAGGCCGTCGCCACAATCAGATTGAGATTAAATAATTTTAACGTGTTTCTTCTCCCCTTAAAATCTTCTCACTCTCTAGAATTTCTGATTTCCCTTTACTATCCTCTCATTTTCACTGTAAATTAATAAAAGAAAGAAAACCTTGAGGCTAGATGCTGTCAATGCAGGCCATCTTTTGGAGTTCTGGACTAGCATGCACCAGGATGGTGTATTTTATCCCCAGCACTGGATAAAGTGGCCACAGTGCCTGTCCCAACCAGCCCTTAGGAAGCAGGGACAGAGGGTCACTGTTTGAGGTCAGCTAGATATGGATGGAGTTTCTATGCTAGCCTTGGCAATAGTCCATATTTTTGTTATTGTTGCTGTTGTCTGACAGAGGATGTCTCTTTGTATCCCTCCCTGGCTGTCCTGGAACTCACTATGTAGACCAAGACAGCTTCAAACTCAGTCTGCTTCTGCCTTCCAAGTACTGGGATTGAAAATGTGAACCACCATGCTGGGAAAGCATCTTGTTTTAGAAAGTAAAGCCAGTGGTGAGATCCTTTAATGCCAGCACTAGGGAGGCTGAGACAGGTGGCTCTCTGTGAGTTCAAGGCCAACCTGGTCTACTGAGCCAGTTCCAGGAGAGCTTCCAAAGCTACAGAGCATCCCTGCCTGGATGAAACCATAAGTCAATAAACAAACAAACAAACAAAGAGTGAAACCAACTCCTGGGCATGTTGGCACACATCTTTAATCCTAGTACCTGGGAGGCAGAGGCAGGCAGATGTCTGAGTTCAAGGCCAGCCTGGTTGGTACACATAATATTGAGTTCCAGGAGAACTGGGACTGTTTCATAGAGAAATCCTGTCTTGAAAAACCAAAAAGAAAGTAAAACCAGCAAAAGAAGTAAACTTGTTATAACTTAAATGAGATAAACAACCACAACAGAACATTAGCACACGCTTGAGTAACAACATGCAATGTCAGCCAATAGGAGCTAACTAAGTCTGGGTGTCTACATAGCCTGGGCTACTCAGACAGTTCTGGGACAATCTGGGCAACATGGCAAAACCTTGACCCCAAGATTTAAAGCAATCACAAGTTAAAAATGAAAAAAAGTGGTATTTAAGAGCAAGACAAAACTGCATTTGAAGTCAAAATCAGCCCCCCATCACCTCATCTGGAAACAAAAATGAGAACCCCTGTGCCTTTAGGTCTGCTGTGGAGAGTGTCTGGCTGGGTGAATCCACTAACATAGGTAGACACGTAGGTAGAAATGGTAGAGACAAAGAAAAGAAACAAAAGCACATTGTTGGAAACATTAGTGTGAGATCAGCTCACCTGAGACGTCTCTGCCATAGGTTTCTGGTGGTATCAGGGCTCATTCTGAGACTTTCGTTGATGGGAATTGGGTGTTGTTTTTTCATTCCAAAAGTTTTATTTCTTTGTCTCTTATGGTGTTAGGTCTGACTGTATCTGTCAGTGACAGGATGTCACTAACACAGAGGGGACATTTTACCATTGAGATAAAGTGACAAATTAAACCAATTAAAAAAATTTATAGCACTACATTTGTACATTAAAAAGAAGAGAGTTTCCAAATGATACTCGACCAATGCAACTCAAAAAAATAGGAAATCAAGAATCAACATTAGATGGAAAGACTCAAAGATCAGAGCCAGATTCAGTTTAAACTAATAAAAAAAAGTAGGACAATTAAACAGATGGTCAGTGAGCCTGAAAATGAGAAAAGCCTCCACAGTGTATGGAAATAGAGACTTTACAAATAGACTAGTTAACTGGGAATCACAAGTTAACAACGGCCCCAAGTGAGGCCGTTTTCAAAGAGTCACTTTGACCAAGTGCTACATTTCTTTCCTTGGCCCTTCTCTATGCTCCCATGGCATAATAGTCACCCCCACATCATACCAGGTTCCCAGGCCTCTGGCGGGAATGTCAAGCTCTCACTGCTCATGATGTCAAGAATGTACACTAGCGATGTAAGCAAGTGTCATACAAGCTCCTCTGGAGACAAGTCCCTTCCCTTCCCTCCTAGCAGTATTGATCACTAGAAGGGGTTTGTGTCTGGAAGGGAGTCTGGCTCACACTCTCCCCAGGCAAGGTTACTACCACTAAAGATAAGTAACCAGTGCTCTTTCTTGGCCTTAAACCAGAAACCTCACCAGAAGCAACTTAACAGGGAAAGGGGTTTGTGTGGCCACTGATCCTGAAATGCACTGCAGGCGTGGAATTGTGGGAAAGAAGTGGTGGAAAGAGTGGGCGGGGCCTGCTCATGGAGAGCAAACAGGAAGCAGAAAGATGATGTGGTGCTGTTTGATTTCTCTTAAACTCATTCCTGGCGTGTGGTCCATCAGATGGTGATGGGAGATGCCATTATGTACATATGCTTCTCATACTGGTTAATGAATAAAGCAATGTTGGCCAATAGGAAAGGAAGATAGGAGGGACTAGGAGACAAGGAGGAAATAGGAAGTAGTAAGGAGGAGCCAAGATGGAGAGTCCGGAGAAAGCAGTATGCTGGCTCCCCGGTAAGAGAAATACATAGATCAGCAGAAATGGGTTAATAATTAAGGCAGAGCTAGCCGATAAGAAACAAGTAACCGGGCCAACAGAATTATATCTAATACAGAGTCTCAGTGTGTTATTTGGGGCTGGCGCAGCTGCGGGGACAAGACCTCTAATACAGAGTATCAGTGTGTTATTTGGGGCTGGCACAGCGGCAGAACAAGACCGATTGGGGCTGTCGCGGGGGCAGGACAAGACCGAGGCAGGTGGAAAAACTGTACATCTTACAAGATGGTACCTACCACTCCATTCAGTGTGGTTCACCTTCCTGCTCAGTTAGACATTGTTGCAAAATCGCCGGGGGCTGGGTCTCATGCAGGTTTCCCATTTGTCAGACCTGAGTCAGACCTGACCTCACTGGCTCTGGTCACGAGTTTCTAATTACCCCATTATGGTCTGGACTCCATTGTTCATATTATCTCTCTTCCCTCACTTTAATTGTACTCCAGGAGCTGGGCCCATTGATTAGTTGTGGATTTCTGAATCTGCTTCCATCTGTTTCGGGAAGGGGAGTCCTTACCCTTTCTGAGATGCAAATTGGAGGTGGGAAGAAGGGGGGGAGCGGGAGGATAGTTGGGAGGGGGAACCGAGATTGGGATGTAAAAAATAAATTAATAGTAATAAATAAAAAGGAAACAGGCAGAATT